ATTGGCCAGAACAGTGATCAGCTCAATTACTGATGAATACTTATCAAGGAAGCACATATACGAGTACTTCCAGGTATAATACGAGGTAAAAAGAGTTTGAGAACTACGGTTGAGGACACAATTCAGAACAGCATTTAAAATGACAAGCTTTGACGTTTATATTTAACCCACATATGACTAGGGTACATTCCAAAGCGCGAGTGAATAGGAGGGGTGGGGGGAGGGGGGCCCATATATAGAGCCCCCTCCTACCTCCGAGAATACAACTTTAACACGCGCAGTGGAAGGGTTGCGAGTACTACGCCCAGTGGAAGGGGGGGGCGGATGTCGCCCCCCCCTAAGATCTCAGCTCCCACTGGAGCTAGAAAGACGAAATTTGGAGGGTAGGTGGGGGCCATGGGGAACTCTATTGTGTGTGAATTTCGTGACCCTAGGTCAATATCTTCAAGGTCAAATGAGGTCAAATGTGGTCAAATCTGCCATATTAGCGACTTTTTTGCGTTTACACGCCGATAACTCAAAAAGTTACCGGCCGATTTTTTTAAAACTTTCACTATACGAAAGAGCAAACATTTGTGAGTATGTATGGTGAATTTCTAGACAATCCAACAATAAATATGGCAGTTAGAAGCCTGCTAAGGGTAAGATGTCGCCGGCTGAAGCGGCATCGGCCGACGCGGGAAACGCGGCAATCACAATTTTGTGTTTACACACTCATAACTCAAGTTGTTACCGGCCGATTTTCAAAATTCTTTGACCATATGATTGCCTGTACAATTCTCAGTCTTCTCACCGAATTTGACGCGAATCTAAAATAATCAGCGGTAAGGAGCGGCGAGCGCGATGTAAAGACGGAACCGTCCCGCCCCGGCACAGTCTACAATTCAGGCATAGACATAGACATAGACATAGACATGTATTTGCGACCCTTCCACATCCATGGTGGCTATTCCGAGACGCGCGTCAATAAGATAGAAACTTGATATACATAAAACACACCTGAGGTAAAATGAACACATTTACAATGCAGCAGGGTACTCACGAAAGGCGATTGTACCACACACACAAACTGTTCAACACCCGCTCTGACATTCGCCGGCAGCACCTAACCAGTGTCACGCAGCAGCCAGTCAGTCACTCGAGTCTTAAATCTGGTGATTCCCACTTCGCGAATGTCTTGCGGAAGTTTATTGTATGCATCAATGCCGCTGAAATATAGTCTGCGAGCACCTGCGTTTGTTTTCACACTCGGCCGCTGCAGCAGACCGCGTATCCTGGTGCTGTGCTGATGGTCACTTGTGACCAGGTGTTCGACGATGCCGACCGGGGCTCCAGTGGTGCGCACCCTATGTATGAGGCACATACGATGATACAGTATAAGCTGTTCGGCATTGAGCCACCCGAGCTGCTTGTACTTCGCCGTGATGTGATCGTACTTTCGTACGCCACATACTACCCGAGCACAGAAGTTCAGCAGTTTTTGAATCCTATGTCTCTGAGCCTGTCCGTAAGTGCCGTAAATAGATATACAGTATCGTATATGAGATATAACCAGACACATCACAAGTAATTCGATGACATCGGGCGGCAGGCAATGTTTAACATGGGACAAAGCGAGTAACATGCCAGTGCATTTTCTGACGAGCTGATCAATGTGAGAATCGAAAGTCAGATATCTGTCCATAACCAGTCCTAGATTTTTCGCTGTCCGGCACTCGGAGATAACTGACCCGCCGAAGTTGAGCCGGACTTCTGGAAAGTTTCGTAGCATAGCTTTTGTTCCAAAAACCATCAACTGTGTTTTGTCAGTGTTCACTTTCATAGAATGCGTCGAGAACCATGTCGATAACGCGTACAGAGTCTGCTCCATCCTACCAATCAGCGAATGAATGTCCTGCTTGCGGCCCGAGACTAAAACCTGTGTATCGTCCGCGTATTGAAAGATGGATGCTCCGTGAGAATGCAGAGCGAGGTCATTTGAAAACACTGAGAACAGCAGTGGGCCGAGCGATGTTCCCTGATAAACTCCTGTGGTAATGGGCAGGGAAGTTGAGAATTTAACATTCCCATCACAATCCCTCGCCTTAACCTGTTGGGTGTGTCCACGCAGGTAGTTCTCAAACCACGTGGTGTCGATGTTGTAAAGTCTGAGTTTCTCTAAAAGTACTCCATGATCGATCACGTCAAAACAGCGCGATAGGTCGATCAGGACAAGCAGCGAGACCTCGCCTCGGTCCATGCTGCACAGGATTTTGTCCGTGACCTCGGTCAAAGCCGTTTCCGTTGAGTGATTCGCGCGATATCCATGTTGCGATCGTGAGTAGAGCTCGTGCCTGGTAAAGTAGTCGTTGAGCTGATTGTAAACGATGCGCTCAACAATTTTTGAGATAGCCGGAACGACCGATATCGGGCGAAATTTGGTAGGGTCGTCGAGAACATTGGTTTTTGGCAGTGGTGTTACTATCGCGTGTTTCCATGACTCAGGGACATGGCCGCTTGTCAGGCTACTATTGACCACGTCTAAGAGTACATGGCCGATAGACCGGAAGCACCTCTGGATGAGCTTGACGCTGACGCCGTCCTCACCGCATGAACTAGACGCTTTCATCATGCATACAGTGTGCCACAGTTGCTCATGTGTGACGGGTGCTAACCTAAGTGAACAAGTCATCACACGAGGCAATCTCACTGGCGCAGCATCTCTCGGTCTCACAACGCTGGCGGCCGTGTTGGTGCCGACGCTCACAAAGTACCGATTGAGCGTGTCCGCATCAACCTCGGGCGCAGCGGAGGCTGTGACCTTGGCACCGATCACTTGGTTCAGACATCGCCACATACCCGACCTGCCCACTTCGCATACACGCTGTCGGATGTGATCACGACTGTCACGACGTATCGCAGCACGCACCTGCGAGTTCAGCATTTTATAGACCTCGCGGTCCCCGCTCGCCAGTGCCCCGCGGCGCTGCTGCATTAGGCGAGCCGTGTCGGCTGACACTGACGGGGCCTCTGGATTACGGAGTTTGACAGTTCTGATCGGGGCTACCAAGTCCAGCTGTGGCACGAATTTGCGGAGGAAACATTCCCACTTATCCTGCGGTGATGGTTGCACAAACACATCATCAAACGGATAATGCAGTAGCGTGGCATTAAACTCATCGAACGGTATACGGTCAATGCTTCTGGATGTCACTGACAGAGGCCTGCGATTAACTTTCGAGATGGTTAACAAGGCTCTGGAGAAATCGTGGGGACTATAATGACATTTAGTCACACCACAACGTTTTGACGTCAGGCGGCGCGTAACGGCTAGCGCCGGCCGCCGCGCCGCCGCGCCGCCGCGGCGGCACGATGTTTGACTTTACACCGCTATTACTAGAAAAGTTGTGAACCGATTTTCTTACTTCTTGCACGAGAAGATCCGCTATTCAATTCTGGACAGGTAGCCGAAGTTTCACATTGATATTGTACTTGCGGCGCGAGTTATTGGCGAAAAACAGGAGGGGTGGGCGAAATCCGCCCCCCCTTCCACTGCGCGTGTTAAAACGGTGATGGTAGCTCAGGAAAAGCTGTCCAGCGAAACCTAATTTTATTTACCTCGAGGTCACCGATGACGTCATAGGTCAGGTCCAAGTGAAAATTATCAACAATAAAGCACGATGACACTTAGGGCTCAGGCTGCCGCCGTATAAGTCACAACAAGCGCCTTGGCTATTATGCCGCCAGCGTTGACCTCAGAGGCAGCCTATATCTTTTTTTTTTAGGCATAAGTAGCTGTAATTATCCAATTATTGTGTGCCAATTGCAATTTCGCTTTACTTCCTATCATGTTTCACGCATCAGGCACGCTAAATTGAATAGAATCTTATCTATCTAAAAAGATCAACTTGCAACTCAAGTATGGCCTAAGGTGAAGATTAAGAAGATTAGATTATTTGGATTAAGATTAAGAAGAAGATTAAGATTAAGGTGAAGTAAGAAGTTGTGACAGGTAAAAATATGTCGCAGATTAATTGATCGGTGCATAGTTGTGAGTGAGCATTAAGCGCATAAAAAGTTTGATAGAATAAACAAGAGATGGGGGCGTTTATTTCCACAGATTCGGTGAAGGTCGGGCGCCCAGGGGTGGGAACCAAAACAATGATACCACGATTCCCAAACACTGTCCTTATAACAACAAATTCTAAAATCAAAGAGCAGTTACCACTGAAAGCCGACGTGTATTTCAGCGAACACGCCAGACAGTACAAAATGCGGTGTAAACATGAGCACAACACAACGATGAGACCAATGCGAAAGAGTATACAAATCAGCCGGAGTCGGAAGCACCCCTTCCTCGACAGCCGTTCACAGTTGGTCCAAGCACCACCCAGACCAGGCTTACGGTAACCGCACAAAACTATCGTATACACAGAATAACGCAGGCCAAGGCCTCACGTTCACTGACGGATTCAGTGAGAAGAGTTTTTGACTTTTGAGAGCACGCACATTTGAATCTGAGTCAGATAAGAATGATGTTTCTCCCAAATAAAAATGGCTATAAAGCCTGAATGCAGTTACCGCCAGCGACACTTGCCCTAAAGGCCATCCGTCCCGAGCCAGACTTGAGCCAACCTCCGACCGACACCCACGGCTAATGGCTTGAAAGCTCGAACGTGAACATCGCATACATTGCACAACATCACTCACACTTATCGCTCAAATAAAGCAATTATTCACAGCAATATCATGGATGAGAATTGTATTTTACATCCATGACCAAATGAACGAAAACACCGCGCGGAGTTCATCAAAGTTCGATATGTGGCCCGACCTGCGGGTCACAAGGCAGTGAACGGTGGCCTTAGAGACCCCGTCATTCTTAAGGCAGTCCCCTGACAAGGACAGCCCTCAGAGACTTGTGCCCTCTGATGAGATCCATGCAGTAGTCCAATAAGCTGTCGTCCGCAGCAGCCCACAAAACACGCAACCTTTGGCAGATACGGCTGCCAACGACCTCAGCAACGCCCTCAGCTTCAACGCCGCCATAAACCCCCTTCAGCAGCGGCAGTCACCTCGGCAGCGTCCTAGACAGCTTAGCTGTCAGATGAGGACATTTGCCGGACGAGGAAGCCCAGGGCGGCCAGTCCGCAGGCAGTGACAGCGGTCGACGCTATGCCACCGGTGAGTCCCGGCACTTCGGTCACCTCATCGGGAGTTTTCTGCGAACAGAAGCAGTGACAATCCATAGTGAGTGCCAGTGGTAGTAGAGTACTTCCTGTGGTCGAACTAGTGACTTGGTCAGCGTCCGTGAAGTTTTATTGATGTTTTATGGGCAGAACTTACAGGGCAGTCAGCCATGTTCGTGTCACAGTGCAATGCAGCACAGCAAATTGAAACAAATGGCTGGAGTGTGGGCTAGTTTAAGTGATGCGCACTTGCAATAACCAAACTGAACTGAACAACTGAATGCATTCTACTTACATGATAAATGCATGCCGCAGTGCACGAAAGTGCAAGTTATGGTAATGACTTCGTAACTTGACTGGGTTTCAAGTAAGTCATGCGAGGCTCAGGATTGCCTAGGGGGCCGCCACTGGAAACAATGCCATTGCCGCGGGGGCCGCCACTGGAAACAATGCATTCCCTACTCACCGGTCGCCGGCTCTGTGCGTTGTTCGGCGTCCCCAGGGACCTCTGAGCGTCGAGCCGGTCGGCGACGGCGCCCAGCTCGCGACCGACGCCGCCGCGCCGCGCCGATCGTCCTCCGCGACTCCCCTCCTGCTGGTCCTCCGAGTCCTCATCGTCCGCGTCCTCCGCAGAGTCCTCATGCAGACACGGAGTCAGAGTAGTTGCCCAGTCGGGCCCGGGCGGCGGCGGCGGACTGTGGCAGACATCCCCCGGGGACCGGTCCCTCCCGGCCGCCCGGCGCACCACCTGTAGCCTCTCCAAGCGCACCTGCAGCTGCGCGGGGGTCGGCTCCCCGGCAGAGGCTCCCCGGTAGTCGGTGACCTCTGGCGGTACCTGGTGACACGTCACCAGGTCCGGCGGCGGTCCGATTCGACCGCGGGCCGCCGCCACCGCCAGCTCCGCCTCGGTCACAGAGGTCGCTGAAACAGCGAGAACGGCGTACAGACATCAGTCAAGGCCAGCGCCGGACACTGCGGCAGCTGTGTTTACCAGGAACCGGTCGAGCCGAGACAGAACGGTGGCGCAACGCGACACCGCGACCTTGGGGGCGCGCACCCGGTCAGTGGCCAGGTCAGTGACCCCAGTGAGCTGACGGACCAGACGCAACAGCCGGGGGGCGGGGGGTATACGGTAGGGCGGTATCGGTGGCAGTCGGGCAGCGTGTCCGAGCGTGAGGTGGTCTCGCCAGGCTATGAAGCTAATTTGTATCATAATTCGGGGGTAAACTGCAATCAAGTCACGAACGGTGCAGACGGCACTCACGGAAACTGAGGGGCCCAGGGATGGAGGGAGGGGCCCTGGAGGAAAACTGCTCAAAACTGTTATGGTGTGACGCAGAACCATACAGGAAAATCACGTAACTGATAGGTTGTATATCCGAAATGCCGTAACATGCAAGCCTCGGAGCGTGCCAGGTGTCATGTCACGATAAATCATATGGGTATAACTGGGCCGTCCAAGCTCATGGTAGTGTTTCACTTGGTTACTCGGCCATCAAGCCGTGAATAAATCGATAGGACTATTTTGGCTCGGGCAGCGGGTACACCACCAGAAATCATTCCCAAACCCATAGGTGGGCACGATCCGTTCCTCCGTTCCTTCGTTCCGGAACGCCGTTACAATTTTTAGGAACGGAGGAACGGACTCGTTACATTTTAAAAAGGGTAACGGATCAAGTAACTTCCGTTACATTGGTTGTTCGTTCCTCCGTTACAAGTTAACAGTTTAGTCCGTTCCTTCGTTCCTCCGTTACTTTTCGTTGTCCGAGCGGGTTGATCTTTCAGCTAACCCACAGACATTAATGCAGCAGCGGAATAGTGGATTTTAAGGGAGAGGGGGGGGGGAGGGCACTGCCGACTTTTGGTCCCATTCTTTCCATGCAACGCACATAGGGCTAATGTTAAAATGCCAAAATCAAAGGGTACGCCGGTGCCCCCCCCCCCCGTTCCGCATCTGGCCGGGGACAAGTGATGCGCATCAGTACCACCAGACGTTCCAAGGTTTACTGTCCAATCAGTGCCCACTGTCTTGGTAGATTTGGTGGGCATTCCGCTTTCTCGGTAGGTTAAGTTTGTGTCAGAATGGTCTCAAAAATGTGTGAAATACCCAATATTTTAACGTTTTTTTTTATTTTGCTGTAACGGAGTAACGGACTAAAAGAACTTCCGTTACATCATATGCAGAGGAACGGAGGAACGAGTAACGGAAGTCACGTTTTGAGGGAACGGAGGAACGAGTAACGAAGTTACAATTTTGGGGAACGATGCCCACCTATGCCCAAACCCTAACAATGTCACCAATGCTAATTCCACAGTTATATAAGCACAACAGTACCTAAATTGTTCGTCAGCATTGTCATGCATAAGCAGTGAATAACAGAACAGGCATCTTCTTTGAACGAATTGCTTGATCGACAAAGTTATGAGGGCCAGAAAGCAGCAAACCGTTGCACCACCAGCAATGTTGCATAATCGACACCATGACCCGGTCATGTCGGCACACAGAGACCGGTTCAAGTAGCCCACCTGGCTGACCTCTGCGGCCATATCTCGATCAGTGTCAACACGGCTATCAGCTCTGCGGGGGAGCGGGAATGACTCAGACCCCGGGACCGCACGTGCCGCCCAGAGATCTACCCACGCCGCGCCACGCCGTCTCTGGGCCGGGTTGACCCGTTAGACGGGATCGGAGCGGAGCATTCCAGAGGAACCCCCAGTCTCCGCGAACTGCCCAGCACTTCCAGGGCGCAACATCCGGTCACTTATCGTCAGCCTCGGTCGATAGGACACGCTCGGACACGCTTGGTGACCGGATCCAGGAAAAGTTGCAAACGGAACAAGGACAGGACGAGGATGTGATGAGGTGGATTGGGGAACAGGAGCATGCGATCGAGAGATTCGTGTGCTTTGTACGGTGGAGGCTGCAGGACTTCAAAAATCTGACGCAATACTGACACGCCTGGCGTCAGTCGTCACTGTATCTGTAGATGTAAACGGAGGCTGAGTATCGGTGCAGGGCCCTCAATGGCACCCGTTATACCGCTGTGACGGGGCAGTTAATTACACCTGACACATCGGACCGCCCGTACTTTCACTAAACGGAAATGGTCACGTCTAATGGGCCGTTACTGTGCACGAACAACCGTTACACGTCGTAAGGCCGTGACTGGTGCTACTCCATGGCACATCTTCTCGTGAACACCGACAAAGGTTTCGGCCGTGGGCACGGGGAATTTCCGGCATCTCACGACTTCCTCAAACACCGGAAGTGAGTCACGGAACTTCACGAAACGGCCACGCACAGAATACTTCACCCATCACGAGAACAAAGACACAGGTCTCACGCGGCACCCTCTCAGCGACCCACACATAACATTTAAATCACGGCCCCTCTCGGAACTCACCAGCGTCGGCGGTCTCTGGTGGCGGCGGCGGCGTCCAGTTGCTGAGCACCCTCCGCACAATCTCGCTGTTCAGCAGGTGATGGACGAACGGCAGCAGTCGTGATCTATCGTACTCCTCCGCCGTCATCGGCACGGCTCCCACCAGCGCCAGGCTCGTTAGCGCTGCCATCTTGGCGCGTCACTCGGTCCAGCCTCCGACGCGCGCGCGCCACGACCTCCTCGCACGCGCCACCCAACGTCCGGAATGGCGCCAAACGGGCGGCCGGTCGCGCCGACGCTCCGCGGGCCGCCGCGGCAGCCAATCAGCGCCCGCCGAGCGGTGGAGTGACGTCAGCGGTGACGTCATGTGGCAGAGGCCCCTGACACGTGCCGGACGGCGCGGCGGGCCGGGGCGCGGCTGGGCGACTGTAGCCTGAGGGCTGAGGCGGCGGGACTGATTGGCGGCTGAAAGGGAACATGGGATGGCCTGTGGGACCAAGTGACTGTCTCAAATGACTGAGACTGGGGGACTGGGTCAAACGATTAGACTGAGTGGCGTGTGACTGAGACTGAGGTGAACCGGTCAAATTGGCTCGATTGATAGACTTTTCAACTCTTTCGTCTTCTGTGTGGCGATTGTCTTAGTCAATTGATAACTGAGTCGCGCCTCATCAACTGAAATGGCGATAAAGCACTAAGCTCCAGTTTGAGTGAGATTTAACTTTTATTGTAATGTTTTGTTAAACTCTGTGCAATAAATTAATTGCTGAACTAATATCTGCCTGCTCAGGGTCATTGGTTGAGTGCCGTGAACTGTCCTTGCCCTTTATGATGGGCAAAAATCATCTATTAAACTGATGGGAATTACAGCTTGGCCGTAAACATCATTCACGTTCACAATTAACCCTCGCCGGCCGAGGGGGGGGGGCGGATGCCGCCCCCCCCCCCATAGGGTTTTTTCGCGATAGCTCCGAACACGCTGGCGATAGAGAGCTGAAACTTGGCATACCTGACCTTTGATCCAAGCCGGATCTTTTGACACCAACCGCATTTTTTGGGTCAGGTCGGGTCACTGACCTATGACGTCATAAGTGAACCTCTGCACGGTCTTCAGATGTCGCAACTTCGCAACGCCCTCACTGCCAGAGGAGATGTCACAGGGAAATGAAACTTGCAGGATCTAGTATCCATTATGAGTCCGACAACTTGTATATCTCGGATTTTTCCTAAAGGTCATATGAGGTCAGGTCATTTTCGTGACCTCACCATTATAAGTCAATGGGGAAAAATGAAAACTGCTATTCTGGCGCCGGGAACGATCTCCAACTATCTCAAGCACACAGAATCGTGATTTGATGCACTCCTTGCAAGGTAAGATGCGTCACTTTTGCAATGTTGACCTTGCGTGACGTCATTTATGACGTCATCAAGGTCATATTAGTTTTTCGTCAATAACTCTTGATCAAATTGAGCTAGCGAGTCGGTAAAGCCACCAATGGACTCAGGAAGACCTGCCGAATCGAATGATATGCGACATGACCTCTTTCGACCAACTTTGTGACCTGGGGGTGCTGACCTGACCTTGACCTGAGGTCAACACCCCAAGTTGACCTGACCCGGACAAAAAGTATATCATTCGACGCGCCTGAGCGAGACGAACACGATGCTGCCAAAATCGGCGCTCTGCGGCCGTTTTTTGCGAAGTTATTCACCAAAACCTGAACCGTACCTTGGGGCACTTGACCTGACCTTAGAGGTCACCGGTTGACCTAGGACCTTAAAATCGGGTACCAATCTCTGCGTCTCGTAACGGCGCACACGCTCGTTTTTTCCGCGACGCGCTAGCTCCACCAGGGGCGAAACGGCGAGGGGGGGGGGTCGTACCCGCCCCCCCCCCCCCTCGGCCGGCGCGTATGTAGAAAACTAATAGGTCCGGCGAGGGTTAACCCTATTCCTGGCGGGGGGGGGCCTCAGGAGCCCCCCCCCTGAGGTTTTTTGGTTATATCTCCCAAACGCGTTGAGCTAGGAAGCTCAAATTTTCTGACTTTTCCTAAAAGGCTTCTACGCAACATGTCTGAAAATTTTGAGCTGATCTGACCTCAGGTCAGGTCACCAGAGGCGGTTTGGTGACGCTACCTCAGAAAAGTTTGCAATCACGCCAGAGCTAGAGTTTTTGACCGATCAATTTCTTCTCTTCAGGGTTTAGTTAGGGTACCAGTATGTGCAATTTGTGTATCTCGGAATTTTGATATCGGTGACCTAAGGTCAGGTCAATTTCGCGACCTCCCCATTATAAGTCAATGGGGGAAAAATCAACTCCCTGTTTTTACCACTAAAACGGGTCGGAATGGCCCCATATACCATACATGACTTCATATACGATCAACCTTCACTACCTTGAGGTCTGTTTTGCTGTTGGGCAGCTGTGAGGTCATGTGACGTCATCAAAGGTCACCAAAGGTTTTTGGCCAATAACTCCGTACAGGAACAAGATACAGACGCGTGGATGGTCTCATTGTGTTCAGCTCGTCAAGACGCATCGAATGGTATACATGATGACCTCGAGGTCACGTGACCTGAGGTCAACCTTTGACCTTGACCTTTCGAGGTCAACATATATATAATTCGATGCGGATTGACGAGAGGATCACGATGATGCCCTTAGTTTGTTCCTATCTTGACTAATTCGAAAGTTATTCGAGAAAAACTCTCTCCATATCTAGTGCCGCCATTTTGACTTTTTCGACCCCTGTGACGTCATCTTTGACCTGACCTGAAAATGACCTTAGTAAAAATTGTAGATCTTGGCCGTGCGTATCCGATGCCGTTTACCGCTTGTCGCTATCTTGCTTCGTTCTCGAGATCTCAGGGGGGGGGCCGAATCGGCCCCCCCCCCCCCGCCAGTTTCTTGTCCCGGCGGAGCCCGCCAGGAATAGGGTTAAAGCACAGTGTATATAAATACAGTGGCGGCAAATGCGCTTGGTCACGTGACCAAATCTGCACGTGCGGTTGTGGCGAGGGCACTTCCCGAAACTCTGGTGCCAACGGCCTCGCGGCGCCCATAGATAATACATGGGTTCTTTTCTTTTCAGACCTATCGTGTCTAAACCAAGCCATTTAGTGCAAGGATACGACTGGTTTGAGATTCAGTAGTCTTTTGGCTACAAGTTGGCATAAGAAACGTATTTTTATCGGCAAAATTCGCAAAGTACCAGGTGGTTTTCCGATACCCTGCACGCCTCCTTACCCCCGGCGGCCGACCGGAGGAGTCAGTAGCGCTCCACTCACGACTTTTGGCGATAGCTCAAAACACCTTACAGCTAGAGGGCTGCTATTTGGCACACCTTATCTTTGCTTCCATACGCATCTTTGGAAATCAATTGCATTACCGTCTCAGGTCAGGTCACTGACTTATGACGTCACACGTGAACCTCTGCAATAGTCCCAAAATACCGAAACTTCGCAATGCCCTCGGTGCCAGAGGAGCTGTCACAGCGAGATGATACTTACAGGACCTAGTATCCTCTAGGAGTCTCAAAACGTGTATATCTCGGATTTCTCCTAGAGGTCACATGAGGTCAGGCCGATCGCGCGACGTCACCATTACAAGTCAATGGGGAAAATATGGAAACTGTAATTTTGACGCCGAGAATGATCTAAACCTAGCTCAAGCACATGGAATCGCAATTTCATGCAATTCTTGCAATGTCCAATGCTTCACTTTTGCATCTTTAACCTAACGTGACGTCATTTATGACGTCACAAATGTCACAAGTTTTTTCGTCAATAACTCCTGATAAAATTGAGCTGGCAAGTCGGAAAAGTCGCCAATAGACTTGGGAAGACCTACCGAATCGAATGATATGCGATATAACCTCCTCCGACCAAGTTCGTGACCTGAGTGCCTCTGACCTGGCTTTGATCCGATGTGGACACCTTATGTTGACCCCACCCAAACAAAAGTGTACCATTTTGACGCACCGGAGCATGACAAACATGATGGTACTAAAATCGCGACTCTGCGCCGTTTTTTTTTTTGACAAAGTTATTTTTCAAAACCCGAAATCGTATTTTGGCCCTCGGGGCACTTGACCTGACCCTCAGAGGCCATCAGTTGACCTGAGACTTTTAACCCTATTAGTGGCAGGGGGGTTGTTTTTATCCACCCCTCAGGTTTTTCGGGAATATCTCCGAAACCGCTGAAGCTACGATGCTGAAATTTTCTGACTTTTCCTAAAACTAAATTGGGCACATTCCCTGAAAATATCAAGTTCATAACTTTACCAGGGGCGGCTCCAGAGCACTGGGAATTGGTGGGTCCTATTCGTGAAGCGAGTCATTTGGGCGAAGATCACGATGCTGCACCAGTTTTACGAACAGTGAATGAAAGGTATCATGTGATAACATATACAAAGTTATTGTGCATCCTCTTTTGACACGTTTTTGCTATAATAGGCGGATCCAGGCGTCCAAAAAGGGGGGTTATTTTTTACCTCCCAACATAGGTGCCCTGACACCGCCTATGCATGACCAATACAATTTTAGTCGTTCTCTCATAAGAAAATTGTAACATAACAAGACCATTGCCACCCTTTTTAGAAACAGTACCAACAAAAACCTTATTTACTATACTCTTTGTGTACCCCCAATCTCAATGATCTGTATCCGCCTATGATTTTTGAAAATGCATATTTTTAGGATCCATGTGAATTCCTGGTTCATTCTCTATCGACCGGCAAAAGTTGCGTTAAGATTGGTTCAGAAACCTGGCCGTGATAAACAGTCTAAAATGTATCTGCAATTTGCCCGTTTTTACCCCCCTCTACCCCCCTATTGACATTTTTTAATTTTATTTTTTTTAGAAATGTAGATCTCGTTGAGCGAAATCGAATGCCGTTTGAATTTTGAAAATCGGCCCGTTAGATCTCGAGATATCAAGGGGGGTCGTAAACAGCCCCCCCCTGCCACTAATAGGGGGTAGCCAGGAGCCTGCCACTAATAGGGTTAAACCGTGCATCAATCGCTGCGTCCCCGGTCCCGTAACGGCACACATGCTCGTTTTGCCCGCGAGGCTAGCTCAATTAAGGCGAGGGAGTCGTACCCGCCCACTCTCGCGGCTGGGGCGTAGGTATGTAAAAAAAAACTAAGAAGTCTGGTGATGATTGATGCAAGATTCTTACAGATAATGGTAGATGAAGGTAGGGCATCAGTTATTAAAGATAGGTAAAAAACAAATTTGCAGCCCTCAGTAGCATTGATTTATGCATTAAGAGTTATAGAACCATAGGCGGCGGAACGGGGAGGGCACCGG